TTTTTACTTTTTAAATATCAATTTATAACTCATAATTTAAATTCAAACTCAAAACCTCTAACCCTCCAACGTATAATACAAATTAAGGCTCTAAAACACTACTACTACGTTAGCAAAGATTTCTTTGTTTTCTTCTGGTGTATATATTTCTTCCTATTCTTTTTATTTAGTTTTTTTAACTTATTTTACATATTGGCAATCATACACAATAATTAAAAATTGAGAAAATATGCACCAAGCAAGTAGATTAACAACACATATTCCTATTATTCTTATAAACAAAGGAAAGAAATTGTAACGAAAGAAAGGTATAATTAGTTTATCATAATTTATAAATCTTGATAGAGCTAGGATTAAAGGCTCAAACATTAAAGGAAGGCTTTCAAGTTGAAAAGTTCAGTTTGTCAACCACAAGCAAAGACAATCACTTTCTAAAAGGGAGGAAGAGAAAGATTAAAAACAAAAATTGATACAACCTGTAATACTGGAAAAGTAAAACATTATTGCATTATTGCGTGCTTAATTGCAAAGGATTTGCAGCAACAAAAAGATAATAGTGGCATTGGTGACTTATTTGTCTATACCAAATTAATCCATGACAATGCGAAAGCAAAAGAAGCAAAGCAAGAGCGATTTCAATCTCACAAAACAACATTTTTGAGTAGAAAAATGAATCCTCCTTTTTTTCTCTCACTTTTGGCTTAACAGGGACTAAAGCAAGATTGTCTGCATAAACAGCCAAGCCAGTGTTCTTTTTCAATGCCACATGAAGAGCAATTAAGGAAAAGGCTCTTGTTAAATCAAGAAATAATGACATGTTAATAATATACGACATGATGTGATATTATAAGTGTTACATTATTGAATATAAAAATTTACTCTAATCATGTAAGATTTCATTTTTAATTGATTTTTTTTCAAAAAATTGTGATATTGTAAGTGTTATTTTATTGAATTTAAAAATTTACTTTAATCATGTAAGATTTCATTTTCAATTGATTTTTTTTCAAAGAAAGGTATAGTTTACGTACCTGATCTTCTTAGTTTAGTGGCTTTGCCGCTCTTGATAGATGCAACCCTCAACCCCTTAGCTGGGCAGATTCCCTCCACCCCAATTTGTAATTTGTTAAAAAAAAAAAGGTATGATTTACCTACTCATCAATTCTTGTAACAACTAAACCAATTCTTCGTAACCACATGTGTTCTCTTTTCTAATGGGGCCATGGCAGAATTTTGTCTCTTCCATTGGACTAAATTCACGAAAGAGATTCCCAATCCCAACAGCAAAACTCATTCCCCTTATCCCATATTCACTTCATCGTTGATCAATCGTACAATACGTGCTCCTCCCCAACGTTCTTCTATAATTCTGTTTCTTCCTTCTTAGATAACCGGAAAATGGAGATTCTCTAGTCTTTCTTCGCCAGCTATCCTGGAAATTTCCTGCATTGGTAGTCTCAGCGGTTACATGAATTATGACTTGCTTCACAATGTCTTTTGTGGATGGTAGAAGCTTCTTTTATATTTGAGGGTTGCAGTGTTTTGTACCAAGGAAAAAGAAAGAGACATGGAGTGTCAGGAGGCTGTGATGAAGCTGGTGGTCCACAACACGGCGCCTGAGAAAGCCACTTCCGGGGTTGGCAGGGAAAAAGAGAAGGGCACCGTCAGTGGCAGGCATAAATGGAGTATCTCCTTATACAAATCGTCGTCTAATGGGTTGAAACATCAACAGGAGCAGATCCCGAAGGAGTTCTGTTGCCCACTTTCTGGATCTTTAATGGCTGAGCCGGTTATCGTCTCCTCCGGTCACAGCTACGAGCGAGCCTGCGTTCAGGCCTGCAAAACCCTGGGGTTTATACCGACTCTAGTGGATGGTGCTATTCTTGATTTCTTCACTGTCATCCCCAATCTCGCCCTGAAATCCTCTATTCTCAACTGGTGCAACAAGCATTCTGTAGACCCCCCAAAACCCCTCGATGTCTCTTCTGCAGAGATTCTTGTCCTCAAATTAATGGAGTCGGAGAACAAAATGCTCAATACCCATAACGAAAAAGAAGTCCAAACGGTATCTTATTCAGAGAAAGAGTTGATTCAGGGGGTTAAAGATAACCCTTCAATCAGATTTACTCATCATGCAGTCACCGAGTTGACTCGGCGCTCCACGCACTTCGATTCTCCGTTGAATGAATCCGAGGGTACCACTTTTTTAACACCGCCTCTGCAACTCGCAACTTTGCCAAGTTGTTATTCATCTGCTTCCTCCTCGGAGATCCAAACCTTCAACCCCAACCCCAGTTCCAGCGAAGAAGAGGAAGGGTTAGTCACAAAAATGAGAAGCACAGAAGTGTTCGAGGTTAAAGAAGCTGTGATTTTGCTTAGAAAAACCACTAGAAATAGAGAGGACAGCAGAGCTAAACTTTGCACTCCGGATTTGCTTTCGGCCCTCCAATCTCTAATCATTTCTGGTTACACCAATATTCAGGTGAATGCGGTTGCGGCTTTAGTGAACTTATCCCTGGAGAAAGTTAACAAGGTAAAGATCGTCCGTTCAGGAATGGTTCCTCCGTTGATTGACGTGTTAAAGGGAGGATCACCGGAGGCGCAGGAGCACGCTGCCGGCGCGCTCTTCAGCTTGGCCATTGACGACGGGAACAAGACGGCGATTGGGGTTTTGGGCGCATTGCCGCCTCTCATGCACATGATGAGATCAGAGAATCAACGGACTCGGCATGACTCGGCCATGGCGCTTTACCACCTCTCACTCGTTCAAAGCAATCGGATCAAGCTGGTTAAAATCGGGTCAGTCCCTGTTCTCTTATCAATGGTTAAATCGGGTCACATGTTGGGTCGGGTTCTACAGATACTGTGTAATTTGGCTACTTGCGAGGCGGGCCGGACCGCAGTGCTGGATTCGGGCGGGGTAGAGTGTTTGGTGGGTATGTTGAGGGGAACTGAGTTAAACGAGCCGACTCAGGAGAGTTGTGTGGCGGCGTTGTACGGGCTGAGTTATGGGGGTTTAAGGTTTAAGGGGTTGGCAAAGGCGGCAGGAGTGGTGGAAGCGCTGTGCAAGGTGGGTGGGCGGGCGAAAGTGAAAGCAAGGAGGATATTGGAGATGTTGAAGGTGATAATTGAGGAGGAAGAGGAAGATGTCGACTGGGAGGAGCTGCTGGAATCGGGATCGACGAGCCAAACTCGGGTTCGACTCGGTGGAGGGAAGGCCGGGTCAGGTGTGAACTCAACCAAGTTCTGAGTGGAGCTCCTTATGGGATTTTTTTTATGATTTTTGGCTTTTATATTTCCTGATTCCGAATTGTAATTATTGGAATTTTTCTTTTTCTTTTTTTTTTTTTGACTTTGGAATTATTCTTGCTTCTTTTTTTTCTTTTTTCTTTTTTTTTTGTATTCTGATCTGTGGTGACTTTTCCTAATAATTAAATATGTAAATAATAAAAGAAAAAAGGTGTAAATAAGTGGTTTTAGAGAAGAGAATTGATTCTGAAAGAGAAAGGATGAGCAAAAATCTTCCATCCTCTTTTCTTAGCAAAGTTTGTTTCTTTAAATCCTCATTCACATTGCTGGAAAAGTTTGTTGTTAAAATCTTTCATCCTTTTTTCAGAAACTAATAATGGATTGCTTGGAATTAACAACTGTTTGTTTGTTTATTGCTTAATTAAGAGTTGTTAATTTCCATAAAAAAAGTTTTGAATTAACAACTATTTGTTGTTTATTATTATCTAATTAAGAGACGTTAAGTTCCATGAAAATGGTTTTCTTATAAAAAAAAAAAAGGAGTTATTCATGGGTTGTACCAAAAATGGTTTTCAAAAACAGTTTTCTTGAGCCCAAAACGAACTTGTTAATTGGAGATTGGGAGCTGCCTAGTGGATCTGGGCCATCTGGTTATTTATGGGTAATCTGTAAGCTTCTTAGGTTCGAAATGCACAAGGCCCAGCAAGTTAGGAGGAACCCAAAAAATAAAAAAATAAAAAATAAATAAGGAAGCAATCTTCCACTGTGCCCTTTGTTATCTACTAATAGCCTTGACCATAGGTCCACAAGTGCTTGGCAATCTCCATTCAAGGGTGGTGGATGCAGCCTATTGAAATGGTTTGTAACTAAATTATCAAATCTTTATAGTA